TAAGGCCATTGGTTACAGATGGATTTTAAAAGGAAGACAGACAATGATGGTAAGAATCACCATTAAGAAAGCTCGACTTGTCGTTAAGTTGTTTTTCGACAAGTTCAAGGAGTTGACTACGGTGAGGCTTTCTCACTCGTAGCGATGCTAAGAGTCTGTTGAATTGGATTAGCAGTTACTGCATTATTTATGAAATCTTGCATATAGGATGTCAAAACATTGTTTCCTTGACAGTTTTCTTGAGGAAAGGTTGTATGTGATACAACCAGAAGGTCTTTGACAATCCTGAAAGACGCTAACAAATATGCAAAGCTCCAGCAATCCTTCTAAGGACTGGAGTAAGCATCTCGGAGTTGGAATGTACGCTTTGATGAGATGATCAAAGATTTTGGGTTTATACAAAGTTTGTGAGAAACTTGTATTTCCAAAGAAGTGAGTGGGAGCACTATGGAATTTCTGATGAGTATATGTTGTTGACATATTGTTGATCAAAAATGATGTAGAATTTCTAGAAAGCATATAGGGTTATTTGAGTTTTTCAATGGAAAACCTGGATTAGGCTACTTGAACAATAAGCATCAAGATCTATAAGATAGATCAAAATGCTTAATAATACTTTCAAATGAGCACATACCTTGACATGATCTTGAAGGTGTTCAAGATGGATCAGTCAAAGAAGGAGTTCTTGCCTGAGTTGTAAGGTATGAAGTTAAGAGTTAAAGCTCGACCACGGCAGAAGAGAGACAAAGGACGAAGGCTGTCCCCTACGCTTCAGACGTAGGCTCTATAGTATGCTATGTTGTGTACCGCACCGGAAGTGTGCCTTGCCATGAGTCAGTCAAGGGGTACAAGAATGATCCAGGAACGGATCATTGGACAGCGGTCAAAATTATCCTTAGAGGAATAAGGAAATGTTTCTCGATTATGGAGGTGATAAAGAGTTCGGTGTAAAGGGTTACGTCGATGCAAGCTTTAACACCTATCCAAATGACTATGAGTAGCAAACGGATACGTATAGTGGAGCAACCATTTGGAATAGCTTCAAGTGGAGCGTGGAAGCAGCATTTACAATATGACATAGAGAATTGCGAAGTACATACGGATCTGAATGTTGCAGAATCGTTGACTAAAACCTCTCTCAGAAGCAAAACATGATCAAACCCCAGAACTCATTGAGACTGAATCACATGGTGATGTGAACTAGTTTAGACACTAGTAAACTCTTTGGATGTTGGTCACATGGCGATGTGACCTATCAGTGTTAATCACATGGCGATGTGAACTAGATTATTGACTCTAGTGCAAGTGGGAGACTGTTGGAAATATGCCCTAGAGGCAATGATAAATTAGTTATTATTATTATATTTCCTTGTTCATGATAATCGTTTATTGTCCATGCTATAATTGTATTGAAAGGAAACTCAGATACATGTGTGGATACATAGACAACACCATGTCCCTAGTAAGCTTCTAGTTGACTAGCTCGTTGATCAATAGATGGTTACGGTTTCCTGACCATGGACATTGGATGTCGTTGATAACGGGATCACATCATTAGGAGAATGATGTGATGGACAAGACCCAATCCTAAGCCTAGCACAAAGATTGTAGTTCATATGCTAAAGCTTTTCTAATGTCAAGTATCATTTCCTTAGACCATGAGATTGTGCAACTCCCGGATACCGTAGGAATGCTTTGGGTGTACCAAACATCACAACGTAACTGGGTGGCTATAAAGGTGCACTACAGGTATCTCCGAAAGTGTTTGTTGGGTTGGCACGAATCGAGACTGGGATTTGTCACTCCGTGTAAACGGAGAGGTATCTCTGGTCCCACTCGGTAGGACATCATCATAATGTGCACAATGTGACCAAGGGGTTGATCACGGGATGATGTGTTACGGAATGAGTAAAGAGACTTGCCGGTAACGAGATTGAACAAGGTATCGGCATACCGACGATCGAATCTCGGGCAAGTACAATACCGCTAGACAAAGGGAATTTTATACGGGATCGATTGAGTCCTTGGCATCGTGGTTCATCCGATGAGATCATCGTGGAACATGTGGGAGCCAACATGGGTATCCAGATCCCGCTGTTGGTTATTGACCGGAGAACGTCTCGGTCATGTCTGTATGATTCCCAAACCTGTAGGGTCTACACACTTAAGGTTCGATGACGCTAGGGTTATAAAGGAAGTTTGTATGTGGTTACCGAATGTTGTTTGGAGTCCCGGATGAGATCCCGGACGTCACGAGGAGTTCTGGAATGGTCCGGAGGTAAAGATTTATATATGGGAAGTCCTGTTTTGGTCACCAGAAAAGTTTCGGGTTTTATCGATAACGTATCGGGACCACCGGGAGGGTCTCAGGTGGGCTGGTGCGCCCCCCCACAAGGGCCCAAGGCGCCTAGGGTTGGGGGAGGGGGCGCACCCACCTAACTTGGGGGGCAAGTTTCCCCTCTCCCCCCCCCCCTTGGCCGCCACCCTAGATGGGATTGGGGGCAGCCGCACCCCTTGGGGTGGAAACCCTAGAGGGGGCGCACCCCCCTCCCTCTCCCCTATATATACTTGAGGTCTTGAGGGCTGCCAACACATGAGTTTCTCTCCCTCTTGGCGCAGCCCTACCTCTCTCCCTCCTCCTCTCCCGCGGTGCTTGGCGAAGCCCTGCAGGATTGCCACGCTCCTCCATCACCACCACGCCGTTGTGCTGCTGCTGGACGGAGTCTTCCTCAACCTCTCCCTCTCTCCTTGCTGGATCAAGGCGTAGGAGACGTCACCGGGCTGTACGTGTGTTGAACGCGGAGGTGTCGTTCGTTCGGCACTAGGATCTCCGGTGATTTGGATCACGACGAGTACGACTCCTTCAACCCCGTTCTCTTGAACGCTTCCGCTTAGCGATCTACAAGGGTATGTAGATGCACTCTCCTTCCCCTCGTTGCTGGTTTCTCCATAGATAGATCTTGGTGACACGTAGGAAAATTTTGAATTTCTGCTACGTTCCCCTACAGTAGCATCTCTCGGTTTATGGAGAGACAGAAGCACGGCTAGCCTACAATGTTAGCTTCGATTGACCGGCTCAGTAGCATGGATTTTGAAAAACTTATATGTAAATATGTAAAGTAGACATCAGTTTTGGAAAGGTTCTGACTAGTTTTTCTTTTCTCTTTTTATAGATTTTTGTCTACTTGTGTGCTTTTAGTTTGTATTTTATTTCATTTTATTTTCTACTTTCTAAATTTTTTTTATTTTCAGATGGATTTCAACTTTTTGGATATGCTTTGAATATTTTTTTACAGGTTAAACATTGAACATTTCTAAAATATGAATTTTTTCTCTAATACACGTTCAAAATTATTCAAATGCACATTACAAAGTTTTTAAAAATACATGATTAACATTTTTTAAGTAGACATTGAATCTCAAAAACATCATAAACATTTTTTACAAAACTCCGTGAATATATTTTTAAATTTCATAAAATTATGAAAATTATATTAACAAAGTTTTACATGCCATGAATTTTTTTTTAAATGTGATCAACAAGTTTTTAAACCAGTCAACATTTTCTAAATGTAAATAGTTTGAATGGCACGAATAGTTTTTGTAAATTGTGGGAACAAACTTTTACGTTTCTAAAAACTTGGATGCTGAAAATTTTCAAAAATTGAGTAAGTAAAGTTTTGAAATATGAAGAAAACTAAAGGAGAGAAATAAAAAGGACAAAAGGACAAAACAGAGGTATGTAAAAAAATAACACGTGAGGAATTTCCTACTGGGCCAGCCCACTAAAGGCTCACTATAGGGGATGCGACCATTTATCTCGCTGGGGATTCTCGGAACAGAAAAGTATCTCGCTGGGAGAGACATACAGATGCACTCGAGCTCGTATGCTCTCGGAAGACCATTAAATTAATAGAAAATTCTGAAAAGACAGAAATATTTTAGTAAAAGAAATGTTTATGCCATATAAAAATGTGTGTAGTATTTTTTGAATAAAAACCCAATCTTGGTGCTTTAGGGCAAAATAAAAAACTATGTTTTAATTCTAATTAGTTATAAATATCTGCACAGTTATAAGACACGAGCATGTTTGTTGTAAAAGAAATCATAATTTAAATTTGTGCTAACCATTTTTTAAGACACGGGCATGTTCGGGAGTCAAAACACTGTCCTCAATGAGGACTAATACAATTTCTCAGGGAAGCGAAGTATCTGATCATGAGCTCATATGCTCCTGGGTGAACAATAAATTAGAACAAGATAGTAAAAAATTCAACATTTCTGATTTTTTTGTGGCAAACAGTAATGAATTTTTAGGGTGCTTGCAAAGTTTCATCCTGAAATCTCATTTATGTAGTCATGGTAAAAAAAGTTGATGCACTGAAAATGATACTTTCGAACGTATTTTGGAGCTCAGATTATTTTTGCTACAATTTCCACGAGTATGATTTCATGATGAAAGGTTGCAAACACTTCAAACATTCCTTTATTTTTGGCACACAAAAAGAATCAGAATCAGATTTTTCTATTTGTTTTCTATTTTTTCGATTTTATTGTCCATACCAGAAGCATTTGAGCTCGAGCGAGAAAGGTACTTTCGTTTCTCAAGTCTCTTCACACTGACGTCATCTTGCAAGCTTGTGAAGGTCATTTTATTCATGGGTGTGGATTCAACAACGAGCAAGCAGCTCATCCGGTTTGTTTACCACAAGAGAGAATAAATACTGTACTTACTGGGTGTGAGTAGATCTCAGTCAACTGAGACTTAACCAAGTCTCTGTCAAGTGACACAAAATATAGAAAAGAAAAAAAAATTAAAAGAAAATTTTGCACAGATCTCCACGTAAGCTCTCACGAATATAGTATCGACTGATACTTCTTAGTTGACTGAGATTTATCCATCCCGATACTTATTACGTTCCCAGTACAGTTGAAGGACCAAACCTCTTGAGATAATCCCATGGGGGACAAATGCATTCACTTAAGCTGAACCCAGCTAGTTAGTAATGGTGCTGTGGGTCTGGGCCGCCGGGAACCGTCCTCTTCACTGCGCCACCGAGCGTCCTTCGCATGTTCCACTTGGACGGCGGAACGTCAGCCGGTTTGCCGTTGGCGGCGGCGTGTGCAACCGCCGGGTGCTGGATCAAGCGCGCTTCCGGCACGACGACGAGCTCCGCGCAGATGAGCATGACCACCAGGAGCACAATGCCGACGCGAGCGGCTGCCATCTTTTCTTTCTGGTACTTGGGAGCTCAAATATACGGTAGCTGGCGAGCTGATCTACCGTGCGTGTCAGTGCAAGCTAGAGGTGGTCTGTACGTGTATCTGATCTGATGTGTCCATGGACAGACAGGTGTACTTATAGCTCCTAGGCGCGTCGTGACAATCGAAGCTTTCTCTTGATCCTTTTGGATGCAGGACAAAAATCGTCTGTAAGTTAGTTACAATTACAACTCGCATATACTGCCACTAGTCGCCATGGCGAGGCGGGTGAGAATGTCATAATGTCCACTATACTACCACTAGTCGCCATGGCGCAGGAAAAGTTTACGGGCCCGTGATTCCGGTTGGCGTGCACACGTTTTTCACCCCATGCTGGCCAGCTCCAGCTGCACTGAACATGGTGATTTGCTGGTGGAGACTGAGAGTTGAGAACCAAACGGTATGTGAAAAGCTTGTATTCCTTTATTTATTTACAGTATATATATAATCAACCTTGGCAGTACGTACTTTGAGTGGCTGCACAACCGGCGACGCGTCGAAAGTTGATGGATCCATCGCAGTTCATGGGGCGTGTCAACTTTTGGTTTTACCGCTAAGACTAGCCACAATGGTGAGTAACATACACTACTAACATATACATATTCCTAGACTATATTACTACCTTCACAGTGGGTAGTAACATAAGTGTGGTAACATGTAAAGTTTTATTTATTAGGTTATAGACTCATATTGCATTAGGACATATGATGTTATAGTAACTAGCTAAGTTACTATAAATACCTCTCTTCTCATTAACTCACTGCCACATAAGCAAATTTGCTGAGTTGGACTCGATATTATTGCTGAAGTTATTTCCACTGTGGCTAGTCTAAAAGCAACTAATCCCATTGCAGATTCCAGCTCACAGCTCGATCGGCGGAGTTACTAATATTATAATAGCTTTGTAGGCTAGCTCTGACTCGATCGACAGTTTGAGTGGGGTTGACCAAACGGCAAACGGCCTTTCGCACTCATGTTAGCCCTGCGTGCACATTCTTGTGTCGCCTAGCTACTTTTCGGAGTAAAATGTATGCTGATCGTGAGCGAAAAGTCCATGCTTACTTGCGTAATTGTGTTAGAGCATCTCTAGAAGACCCCGCAGATCTCGCAAACCCGCATAAGTTCGGCGAGTATACGGGCTCGGCCCAATTTTCTGGCCAGAACAGAGCCCGTATACTCGTCTGGCCCGTAAATTTTTTTACCGCGGCCCGCGAACCGCCCAGCAGAAGCGGTACATCTATGGGTTTGCGGGGGGGATACGGGTCGAAACCCTGTCCCTCCGCCGCCTCGTTCCACCGCGATTCCCCACCGTCATCTCGCATTTCTCGCCGCCGGCGAGCCCGCATCCGCCTCGAAACGCCATGTGGAGCTTCGGCCGCGGCTCCGGCGGTCGTCGCGACCCCGAGCGCGAGCGTCGTGTCCGCTCGGACAGCGCGAGGAAGCTCGGGGCCAAGAAGTGGACGAACCGGGGCCTCTCGCCGCCGTCGAGGTTCCTCCGTCGGGAGACGGAGGAGTACGACCATCAGCAGGCCGCGGGCTCCTCTGCCACGGGCTCGAGATCTGCCGCGTGGCTCACCCGCGCAACGAGCTCTTCCTCTTCCGGCTCGAGGCTTCTCCCCGTGAAGAGGGAGCGGTCGGAGGAGCTGTAGGAGCCCGAGGAGATCGTGCGCCGCGGCGGCGTCGGGCCCGAGGACTTCATCGCCGATGTCGATGCGGTCGAGGCGGCCATTGCAGAACGCAGCTTGCGCGAGGAGGCGGAGCGCCAGCGCCATCACGAGGAGCTTGAAGACCTCGTGTTCCAGCAGGCGGTCGCAGCGAACCTTGCCGCCAAGGAGAAGGACGACGAGTGGCGGCGTATCCGCGAGGAGCAGAAGGAGAAGTACATCGACCTCGGCAGCTTCCACGAGGAGGATTGAGCTCCTCCACTGCGTCGTCCATGGCCTCGAGCTCGCGCCGTGACATCCCCCCCCTACTACTAGTAGTGAATGTAGTATGTAATATGAACTAGTGTTTGTAATGAATTAGTGTTTGATCATGTAGTACATGTAGTATGTGATGAACTACTATGGTCGCAATTTCTCGCGTGAAACTTATTTTTTCAAATTATATATTGTTTCTGTTCTGTCGCGCATGTTTCGACCCGCAAACGAGATCTTCATCGACCTATAAACGAGTTATGCGGGTCGGAATTTTGCGGGATCTGCTAGAAATGCTCTTAGAGCATCTCCAACAGCCGCGCTATACTAGCGCCGCGCTGCAAATTAGTCGGTTTTAGCGCGCGCGCAACGCGGCGGGTCGCTCCAGCGGGCGCGCAAAAACCGCGCGCGCTCTAAAACGAGTTGGGCGCGTTGTCGGAAACACTGCCCCGCGCGGTGTATTTCGGGCGCCCGCTGCAGCACGCGGCACACTCGAGCGCTCGCTCTCGCACTTCCTCTCCCGCTTCCACCCCCACCCAGTCGCGCCGCCGCCGCCGCCCGCGACCCCGGCGACCGTTCAGGCGCTTCCCCGGCCTATCCCCGCGCCGCCGTGCTTCCGCCCCATCCCCTCCTAGTCCCGCCGGCGCTCGCGCGCCTCCGTTGTCCGAGGAACAGCACCCGAGCGCTCACTGCCGCGCCGCGCCCGCAAGGTGTTCGACAAAACGCCTAAAAGGTATGTATTGCTCAAACTTCATGAATTTGGGGCATGTTTTGAATTGTAGTTTTTATAGTATAGTATTGAACATTGTAGATGAGTTCGTCGTTTGATTCTTCCGAAGAAGAATTTGATATGGAAGAGGAGGAGGATCTTGCAATGATCCTAGCTATGCATATCAATAAAAAACCGAAGCACGGTGGTTCGGTTATTGGTCGAGAGAAAATTTGGAGAGATAGGATTGATGCCCATAACAGATTGATGAAGAACTATTTCGTGGAGAATCCCACATACCCGGAGTCGTATTTTCGTCGCCGGGAATCGTGCAAGTGTTTGACGAGGAGTATTTGAGATCTCCCACTACTGAAGACGCCGCAAGGCTATTGGCGATGAACAAAGCGCGCGGCTTTCCTGGCATGCTTGGCTCAATAGATTGCATGCATTGGAGTTGGAAGAATTGTCCAAAGGCATGGCATGGGCAATTCCATGGCCAAAAAAAGGGTTCCACTATAATCCTTGAAGCAGTGGCCGATCAGGAGACTTGGATTTGGCATGCATTCTTTGGAATGCCTGGACCTTTGAATGACATAAATGTTGTCAACCGGTCACCACTGATGAATAAGATTGCAAACGGTGAGTTGCCACCTGTGCAGTTTGTAGCAAATGGCCGTACATACAATTATGGCTATTATCTAGCAGATGACATCTATCCAAAGTGGCAAACCTTCGTGAAGCCGTTGAAAAAGCCGGAAGGTAAGAAATATCTTGATTTTCACAATGCTCAGGCGGCGGCTAGAAAAGATGTGGAGAGAGTATTTGGAATTTTGCAAGCACAATTTGCTATTGCGAGAGAACCGGCTAGATTTTGGGATCAACAAATACTTTGGTACATCATGCACGCTTGTGTGATCATGCACAACATGATCATCGAGAATGAGCGTGGCCAAGATTTAGACTACTCACAGTATGAACTCTTTGGACATCCCGTGCGAGTGCGACGGAGGGCTGAAAGGGTAGCCCCTTTTATTGCCTCCTATCATGCCATTCGGCGTCCCGCAACGCACAATGAACTTCAGAATGATCTGATTGAAAAGTGGTGGGCATGATATGAACGACAAAGAGCATCATGATTTCTGCATTATTTGTTGTGTTTATTGCATTATTTGTTGTACTGAACGATAAACTATTTGTTTGAGTTGTAATGATAACGAAATTGAACTATTTATTGTTGATTTATTTTGTTTGTTTGATCATTTTTGCTCTTCTTCTTTGAAATGTATATGTGGTTTGTGTGGCGCGCGCGCTGTATTTTTGCGCTCTGCTGGAGCGGCGTGCGCGCTGCTTATAGCGCGGCTGCTGGAGCCAGCGCTGGCGGCCACGCTAAACCAGCCGAAGCGCGCGTGGCAAACAGAATTTTTGCGCGCGGCGCTTACCGCGGCTGTCGGAGATGCTCTCATGCTATTACGAGCCGCCACTTTGCTCTGATAGGATATACGGTTGAGCGTTGCCAGTTAACCGGTCGTGCTTCGTCAAAAGCTCATTTACCCTCACCGTCGCGTCGCTCTTGTGGTGTTCATAGACTGATTTATCTATATTTTGAGCCCTGCGCTGCGTGGCCATTGACTATTTTAAACCCTAAAGGGTACGGACAAACTAGTAGTGCAGCATGCATGCATACCTAATACCTGTGGAAAAGCTACCCACCTTTGCACAATGGGACAAGCAAGAAACACTTTTCAGCCTTCGTGCCATTTTTTCTTCTTGTTTTTTTGTGTTCCTGCTTTTACTAAAGAGTTGAATACGTTGGAGGTGGCTTAACTTGTCCTGCACGGTTAATTTGGTGTCTAAATTTATAAAATACATCAAATGGATGCTTGAAATTGTTCGGTCGTGTAAATATCATGCCTCCATCCGCATCCAGACGTACGTCCAACATATTTAATTTAATATTATTATTCCACGCGTTACAGAATAATTTCTAATACACTGAACATGTATTAAAAAGTATTGTGTTGATATTTTTAATACAATTATTTCACATGTTACAGTTAATACACGTTGAATTTTTAAAAAATACAATTTGTCAATTTTCTAATTCAAGACGAACGTATTTATAAAACATGTTAAAATTTTGTAATACATGTGAAACATTTCCCAATAATATGTTGAACAGTTTTCAAATGCACTATCACTTTCTTTAAGTTTATGGAAGTTGTAATTTTTTTTTCTTACAATCGTTTTTTGAATGGAAAATAATAATATGAAATATAAAAATAAAGAACTTGAAAAAATAAAAATAAAACTTGAGTGGTCCCGAAGAAGTGCCATATATAAA